AACAACACATGGATTAAAGGCTTTCATTTGGATTCATAGATGTGGATATACAAATATAAAAGTTAAGAGGCAAGTAAAGCAATAAACTTTGGTGACAATGTTGAAAAAAAAAAAAAAAAAGAATATGAAAAATCCCACAATTAAAGGTCATGAAAATGCAACAAGTTTTGGAATTATCAATCTAGAGTTTTCACTGAACACATAAATACAGTAACCAAATTAAACATTTTTAAGAGAATCATCTCAATACTTCAGCACACTGCAACTAAATTGTAGCTAGACAAAAAGTTGCCATAACCATAGAAACCAAGACATCCTTTAATAACAGACATCTTAAAGTCATCCATAATTACTCTTTAAAAATGTTAACAGCCTATACTATAGTAGTTTAACTTTATTATAAGTTTCTCTTCATCAAAGTTTAGAATACAAAAAACATAAGCCAGACTTCCAAAGGACTCATCACATTCTAAGTTGAAATAAAATTTAAAATAAATAGGAGATTTATCCTGAGGTTGCAAGGATGGTTCAATATTCACAGAACAGTCCATGTAATACACCATATTAATAAGTTGAAGGAAAAATATCATATCATTACCTCAATAGATGCAGAAAGAGCTTCAAACAAAATTCACCATCCATTCATGTTAAAAACTCTCAACAAAGAAGGTATAGATGGAACATACCTCAATATAATAAAGGCCATATATGACAAGCCCACAGATAACATCATACTCAATGGGCAAAAGCTGAACGCATTTCCTCTAAGATCAGGAATGAAACAAGGATGCTCACTTTCCCCAATTTTATTCAACATAGTATTGGAAGTCCTATCCATAACAATCAAAAAGAAACAGAAGTAATCCAAGTTGGAAAGGAAGAAGTAATACTGTCACTGTTTGCAGATGACATGATACTATACATAGAAAATCCTAAAGATGCCACAAGAAAATTACTAGAGCTCATCAATGAACCCGGTAAAGTGGCAGAATACAAAATTTATATATATAAATCTGCTGCATTTCTATATACTAACAATGAACTATAAGAAAGAGAAATTCAGGAAGCAATTTCATTCACAGTTGCATCAAAAAGAATAAAATACTTAGGAATAAACCTTCCTAAGGAGGTAAAAACCTGGACTTGGTAAACTATAAGACACTGATAAAAATAAATGAAAGATAACACAAACAGATGGAAAGACATACTATGCTCATAAATTGAAAGAATTAATATTGTTAAAATTACCATACTGCCCAAGGCAATTTAAAGTTTCAATGCAATCCCCAAGGGCATTTTTCACTTAACTAGAAGAAATAATTCTAAAATTTATATGGATACACAAAATACTTCAAATAGCTAAAACAATCTTGAGAAAAAAGAACATAGCTAGAGGAAACATGCTCCCTGATTTCAGACTATACTACAAAGCTACAGTCATCAAAACAGTATAGTACTGCCACAAAAACAGACACATATATCAGTGGAACAGAATATAGAACCCAGAAATAAACCCACATACTTATGGTCAATTAATCTACTACAAAGGAGGCAAGAATATACAATGGAGAAAAGACAGTCTCTTCAATAAGTGGTTTCTTGGAAAACTGAACAGATGCATGTAAAAGAATGAAATTAGAACATTCTCTATCACCACATACAAAAAATAAGCTCGAAATGGATTAAAGACCTAAATGTAAGACCGGAAACCATAAAACTCCTAGAAGAAAACAAAGGCAGAACACTCTTTGACATAAGTTGTAGCAATATATTTTTTGGATCTGTCTCCTAAAGCAAAGGGAATAAAAGCAGAAATAAACAAATGGGACCTAATTAAACTTAAAAACTTTTGCATAGCAAAGGAAACCATTGATTAAATGAAAAGACAACTTACTGATTGGGAGAAAATATTTTCAAGTGATATGACCAATAAGGGGTTAATATCCAACATATATAAACAGCTCATACAACTCAACATCAAAAAAACAAACAGGCTGATTGAAAAATGGGCAGAAGAACTGAATAGACATTTTTTTAAAGAGGACATGCAGATGGCCAACAGGCACATGAAAAGATACTGAACATTGCTAATCAAGGGAAATGCAAATCAAAACAACAATAAGATATCGCCTCACACCTGTTAGAATGGCTATCATCAAAAAGAACACAAATAACAAATGTCGGTGAGGATGTGGAGAAATGAGAACAATCATACATTGTTGGTGGGAATGTAAATTGGTGCGGCCACTGTGGAAAACATTTTGAAGGTTTCTTAAAAACTACAAATAGGGGCTTCCCTGGTGGCGCAGTGGTTGAGAGTCCACCTGCTGATGTAGGGGACACGGGTTCATGCCCCGGTCTGGGAGGATCCCACATGCTGCGGAGCAGCTGGGCCTGTGAGCCATGGCCACTGAGCCTGCCCGTCTGGAGCCTGTGCTCCACAATGGGAGAGGCCACAGCAGTGAGAGGCCCGCGTACCGCAAAAAAAAAAAAAAAATTACAAATAGAGCTACCATATGACCCAGCCATTCCATTCCTGGGTATATGTCTGAGAAAACAAAAACACTAATTCAAAAAGATACATGCACTCCAGTTTTCATAGTAGCAGTATTTATAATTGCCAAGATATGGAAGCAATCTCAATGTCCATCAACAGATGAATGGATAAAGATGTGTTATATACATATAAAATTTTTGCCATTTGCAGCAACATGGATGGACTTGGAGGGTATTGTGCTAAGTGAAATAAGTCAGACAGAGAAACACAAAATTGTATGATCACTTACAGATGGAATCTGAAAAATAAAACAGACTAGCGAATAGAACAAAAAAAAGGAAGACTCACAAATGTTGAGAACACGCTATTGGTTACCAGTGGGGAGAAGGAAGTGCAAAGGGGCAAGATAAGGGTGGGGGATTAAGATGTACAAACTACTATGGATAAAATAAGCTACAGGGATATGTTGTTCAATGCAGGGAATATAGCCAATATTGCCGCTCCGCGGCATGTGGGATCCTCCCAGACCGGGGCACGAACCCGTGTCCCCTGCATCAGCAGGCGGACTCCCAACCACTGCGCCACCAGGGAAGCCCCAGCCAATATTTTATAATAACTATAAATTGACTATAACCTTTAAAAACTGTGAATCAGTATTTTACATCTGAAACTTATATAATATTGTGCACCAACTATATCTCAATTAAAAATAAAATTTTTTTTAAAAAAGTGAACAAACAAAACAAAAACAGAGTTACAGATGCAGAGAACAAACAGGTGGTTGCCAGAGGGGAGGGTATTGGGGGAATGAGAGAAATAGGTGAGGGAGATTAACAGGTACAAACTTCCAGGTATAAAATAAATGAGTCACAGGTATGAAATGCACAGTGTGGGGTATATAGTCAATAATTATGTTATATCTTTGTATAGTGACAGATGGTAACTAGACTTACCATGATGATCATTTTATAATGTACAGAAATATTGAATCACTATGTTGTATACCAAGAACTAACACAGTCTTGTAAGTCACTTATATTTTCAAAGCCACCCAACCAAACAAACACATAAACTGATTAGAAACAGAGATCAGATTTCTGGTTACCAGAGGCTGAATGTGGGCTAAGGGGGAACTAGATAAAGATGGTCAAAACTACAAACTTCCAGTTATATTATAAATACCAGGGACATGAAGTACAACATGATATAATTAACATTGCTGTATATTATTTATGGAAGTTGTTAAGAAATCCTGAGCTCTCATCACAAGGGAAAAATTTTTTTTGTTTTTTAAAATGTTATATCTTTATGAGGTGATGGATGTTCACTAAACTTATTGTGGTAATCATTTCATGATGTATTTAAGTCAGATCATCATGCTATACACTTCAAACGTATACAGTGCTGTATGTCAATTATATCTCAATAAAATTGGAAGGAAACAAAGATAAATAGGAATATGCCCTCAAGGCCATCTCAGTGTATTTTTCTTTATGATTACACACCTTTTTAAATACTTCATCCATAGTTATCTTCATTGAAATGAAGATTTTTACAAAGGAAATTTGTCCCTATCCAGACAGTGAAATGTAAAATGTTCAAGAAGATTGGAGTGGGGCTTCCCTGGTGGCACAGTGGTTGAGGTCCGCCTGCCGATGCAGGGGACACGGGTTCGTGCCCCAGTCTGGGAAGATCCCACATGCCGCAGAGTGGCTAGGCCCGTGAGCCCTGGCCACTGAGCCTGTCCTCTGCAACGGGAGAGGCAAAAAAGAAGATTGGAGTGAAAACAGGACAAAAATGCTTTCCTCAGAAGGAATCAAATGAAAAGAGAATAAAAGATATGATAAATTATAATAAAGAGAAAGAAAACACTCCATGACTTTAGATGTGTGACTGAAACTCAAGGAATTTAAAGTAGATGAGAGAACCGTAGAAAAGAATAAGTCTTTTCCACTACAAGCTACATGTAGAGAAAAAAACAAAATGGCTGTAGAGAATATTTTACCTTTGTCAACAGGGTTTAGTGTAGAAAGTATATTTTAATTATTTCAATTATAAACTTACTTCATTTCAAAATAGATATTTTAGGGCTTCCCTGGTGGTGCAGTGGTTGAGAGTCTGCCTGCCGATGCAGGGGACACGGGTTCATGCCCCCGTCCGGGAAGATCCCACATGCCGTGAGCCATGGCCACTGAGCCTGCGCATCCGGAGCCTGTGCTCCACAACAGGAGAGGCCTGCGTACCAAAGAAAAAAAAAAAAAAAGATATTTCATACACTTTAGATTTGAATAAAAATAGCACAGTAATTTTAAATCACTAGTTATTATTGCTCATTTTCCAAACTGCAGTCCACATGTTAGGATTTCCTTTCACTTCCCTCTTCACAAAGCCACCTGCAAGCACCTACCCTTTTCTAAAGTATGTACTTCCCAGAGCCGCCTGTCTTGATTGCTAGCTTAGTTAAGACCTGACTACAGCTGAGGAGGAGGCCCCTATTCCAGTTCTATATGATGACACACTTTAATAGAAAAACCTCTTCATTCTTGGTATCAGATGAATCTTCAGGAACTGTATCCCGTTCTAAAGGCTCTTCAGATTTTGGCTTATCTTCCAAAACCCCTGATCCTAATTTTACCACCAGGACGTCCGCTGTCTGGGGAGACTGATAAACCATAGACACATTCTCTACCAGAGCTTCATCTGCAGGTGTTTGCTCAGATGGTAGAAGCAGAACTTCAGCAGAGGTTTCTTTTACAGAGATTTGTGTAATAAAGGACTCTTCAGCTAGTGAAGACTGTTTGTCAACAGAGAACATTTCCGAAGTAGTTTCTTCAGTTGATGGAAGCTGAAGTCAAGGGGCCTCCTCTGCAGAAGCCTTCTCTGCTGGTAAAGGTTGAAGTTCAGCTGCAGCCTCTTCTGCAAGGGTCCTCTCAGCTGGTGGAGACTGAACTTTGGTGGAGGTCTCTTCTGCAGGGCCCTCCTCTGCTGGTGAGGCTGAACTTTGGCGGAGGCCTCTTCTGCAGGGGTGTCCTCAGCTGGCAGAGACTGAACTTCTTCTGGGACCTCTTCTGAAGAGGTCTCCTCAGTGGGTGGAGACTGAATGTTGGCAGAGGACTTCTCTGCAGGGGACTCCACAGCTGGTGAAGTTTGAAGTTCTGGGACCTCTTGTGTAGGAGCGTCTTCAG